GGAAAGAGTTATCTTTTCTTTATATAACTTTGGATATTTTTATTTATGATGGCAAGCACAGTTATTTTTACTTAAATTTTTGGTAAAGACAAAATAAATTCTTGTCCTGTACTCTTACAATATAAAGGCCTACAAAATATAGCTATAAACAACAACAACTTATCCCACAGACGATGCCATCCTGCACTTCTCAAAGGGACAGAAACCAGCTCCGCTCTTAAAATAACCTGTGGTTAGCTCCTACTGTGGAGGTAGGAAGAACTGGACTGGCACTTCCCCAAACCCTGTTGCTGCCATCCTACCCAAAGCCCATCTAACATTCTGGGTTCAGTCTAGAGCAGGGGTGGGCAAACTTTTTGACTCAAGGGCCACAATGGGTTCTTAAACTGGACCGGAGGGCCAGAACAAAAGCATGGATGGAGTGTTTGTGTGAACTGATATAAATTCAAAGTAAACATCATTACATAAAAGGGAACGGTCTTTTTTTTTTTTTTTTTTTTTTAGTTTTATTCATTTCAAACGGGCCGGATCCGGCCCGTGGGCCATAGTTTGCCCACGGCTGGTCTATGGGATAGGAGAGGAAAATGAAGAAAATGGACAATGACAGAGCTGTTCTCTGTAAAAACTGACTCTTGCTCAGAAGTCAAAGAAGAGAATGATTCCTCTTCCTCCCACTTCTGTATACCCTAAGTTTAATCACTAATGACACCCTGACAATGTCCCTCCCCCCGCTCCCCCAGCCCTTGACCTAAGGAATAATTATGGACCAAACATTTCAGAGTTTCAAGAAGGACGGCTGTAGGCCTACTTTATGTCCTCAGTTTACCTCTGAGCAGACAAAACAATCGGAGGTCAAAGACCTTGGCCAACGGCGTTTCATTTTGAGAATTAGTTACCAGAATTATACTGTTGACTGTTGGCTCATTTAACCAAAATGGATTGGAATAGGAAAATTTAGCAAAATCCCTGGAGACCAGAATATGTACTTTTAATTTAAAGAGCTGCCCTGATTTGTTTCCACTACTTCCAAGAGAGCCAACTCCCTGGGACCATCACCTGGTCCTGGGTCACAAAGCTGTAGGGGAGCATTTTAGAACAAGGAGGCCCAAGCAACGAACGCCGGCTGACCTCACAAACACAACCCTCGCCGAGTCCTCTGCATCATAATACAATCACCGTGTCCTCTGCATCATAATACAATCACCGTTTTCTGGATTCGGAGGCAGAGGAGGCAGCTTCGGACCCTCAGCTTAGCCAAGGGACTTGTGGATCTTCGGATTCTGACATGTCCTGCTGGTTGGGCACCTGGCCCCTGAGACACTATACTGTAT